CTTCCTGATGAGTACCCTTGACTGTGGGAGCACATGATGCTGTAACTAGCCTCAGTCCCATCCTTGTTCAAGAGGCGAAGTATTTCTCTAATTAAAAAAAAAAAAGGAGTTTGAGATTGTCTAAACTTTTCTGTGTAATCTGAATTAGAGAGCTGTGGATTTGGGTCCCAGTGTAATATGGATGCAACTGCAAAAATCAATGCATAAAACAGAGCCCAGAAGAGAATTGTATTTAACAGGAGACAGAAAATCAAAACAGATTCCAAACAAATCAGAAATTAAGACTGCGGCAGCTAGAGCTGAGTTTGCCCTATAGGAAAAGCTTATTAATGTAACAAAGGTGACTTTTTTTTTGCCAGAATTCCCCATCAGTATTATTTGCCCATGTCATGTTTCTGTTCTGTGACATAACACACTGTTATGGTGTAACAACAGTAAAATGACAAGAAGATAATTAAAGCTTCACTTTACAACATACTGGAACTTTAAAGATATTGGAAGGTGCTGACACAAATTCTGAGCACCTGAGCTTCAGCAATATCACAGAACAGAAGCAATATAGCTTTTAGTCTCCAGAAATATCCTGTATTTCCCAGACCTAATAAAGTATATTGTATCCTTAATTTGTTTTAGGAAAAGATCCAAGTGCTTTGCATTTGTTTAACCTAATCCAATCTTGACTGTTGCTAAAATGAAAGGGCTCTGTCTTGCGTGTCACACAGGGGAAGGTCTACTAAATATTGTTGTGGTTTAAAACCAGGCAGAGGGCTCGTTCACTCACTCCCCCTCTTCTTTCCTTTCCCCTACTCCCGGAGGGATGGAGAGGAGAATCAAAAAGAATGCAACTCCCACAGGTTGAGATAAGAACAGTTTAGTAACTAAGGTATAACACAAATCACTACTGCTACCACCAATAATAACAATGATAAAGGAAATAACAAGGGAAGAGAATACAACACCTCAGCACCAGCCGACTGATAACTTGCCCCCCCCAGCCCCACCAAGCACCGACTGATACCTCCTCCAACCCTGCAGTCCCCCAGCCCTTCCGGCTAATTCCCAGTTACCTCCTGGGCATGACGTGCTGTGGTATGGAATACCTCTTTGGTCAGTTTGGGTCAGGTGTCCTGTCTCTGCTTCCTCCCGGCTTCCCCCTCCTCCCTGGCAGAGCATGAGGCTCACAAAGTCCTTGGCCAAACCAAAACATTGCTATCAGCTCTGTTCCCAGGCTGAAAGTCAAAACACTGCACTGCACCAGCTACCAAGAAGGAGAAACATGACTGCTACTGCTGAACCCAGGACAAATATGTAGCTTTTGGAAGAGAACGGTCACTTGTTTTTACAATAGTAATCAAACCAGTGAGAAGCCCACCTGTTTTCATATAGGTTTATGTAGTTTAAGAAACACTGGAAGTCTTCACTAGTTAAAATATTTGTAAGAAGAGAAGGTTCAGAGGAGGCCTTATTGCTGTCTGCCTGATCAGAGAATATGGAGGAGACTGGACCAAACTCTTCTCTTCATAGTTGCGCAGGGATGGGATGAGAGGCAATGGGTGCGAGTTGGAACATCATAGGAAATTCTGCTTAATTGTAAGGAAAATCTTTTCTTCAGGTAACCTGTGTTGTAATGGCAAGCATTCTATGGACTCCTCTGTTCCCATGCCCAATTCTGCTGCTTGCCTTCCTGATCCTATACCATCTCTAGATGCTAGCATCCATTACTGAGGAGCTTGTGCTTTTTTATCTTTGCTGACTGGGTTTTTTTTTGTCTGAAGCAGGTGAAGGAGCTAGTACCATGTCAGCTGGTTGTTTACAACTGTCCAGCAGACCATTAAACGTCTGCTTTGGGTAACTGAGGTCCACGGATGGATAGTTTAGAATGTATTTAACACACTTAAACACCAGTGCCTCTTTTCTCCCTTCAGTTACTGCAGCATTCTTTATGCCTCCTATTTGTTTAATTCACCTTGCAAAAGAAAATGTCTAATGAGCCCCACTTGGGATTTTCCAACTGTTTGTCTGGCTGCAAACTGTCATTTCCAAAGGATATATTAATGGTGCTGTTACCTGTTGTTCACATCAATGTTAAAGCATGTATGTGCTGTTTCTGCCTTGTGCTCCCATAATTACAAGCCTCTGTTTGGCAAATGAGGATATGTTTGCTTTCTTGATTAAGCAGGTTCTAAGAAATTTTTCCATGCTTGGTAGGACATAACTTATGAAAAGAGCGAGTTTAGAAGAGAAGCCCAGCAGTGGAGATTCTTAGCATTTCCCTAATTTCTCCCTCTGCTGGGCAGAAAGCACTTTGTGAATGCTAATGAAATCAGCTTTGCATTACCCCAGTGAAGTGGCTGTGCATTATTCCTGTGAGAAGAGGGAGGCACAGCATGATTAAGTGACTTGTCTGGATTCAAATGGCTGATGGGATTCCAGCATTTGCTCAGGTGTTGGCTTTCAGCGCCAGACCCAGAGTTATAGTGCAGGCTTGGTAAAGTGATCTTTTTTTTTTTTTTGAAACTGGTATTTTGTCTCATAAAAACTAAAGTTTAGTTTAAACTGAAATGTCTTTACTTTCTATGGTTGGGAAGTTAATATTCAAAACATGAACTGCGTGTAATCAGTGCCTTATTTCTGCAGTCAGCCTGAAATAATAAATATCAGAGAGAAATGGGGTGCAAGTATTTCTCCACTGAAGAGTTAGTTCAAGTGTTTGTCATGAAGACTCAGATGATGCTGATGAACAGTTTCTCCTCCAGTCAAATGAGACAAGAAAGGAGCAGGGTGTGAGCATTAATGTGCTAGAAGAGACTGTACCCATCGCATCTTCTGCATTGAAGGGAATGGACGTTGGGTTGTATGTGAATTCCAGTTTCTCTCCACTCCTCTGTCTGCTTGGGTCACAAAGTGAAGAGCTGTCCCTTAGATGTGATCAGTGGTTCCCCATCACTGAAATTGAGCTGGTGGAGGCCATTTCTTAATGCTTTTTTTTTTTTATGTGATGAGCCCTCTGAGCCCTCTGATGTCCCTTCACAGCTCTGGCATTGTCAGGATTGCATGTTTCAGACTAGCTTCTTCTACTGTAGCATGTAAAGGGAGCCACCTCGGTATGTTTCTGTCTTACTGAATACGGCTGATTATTTTTCACTGAAGTTGTTTTAGAAGCTGTTGTAGACTTAGTTCTATAACATTATGCTATGTCTGTATGGTCTTCAGGATTTTTAGGAGGAACTGGGAAAGTTGGAGAGAGTTAGCTATGGGGGACCCAAGCTCTTGATGTAGTTATGCACTCCAATATTTAGACTGAAATAAGTCTGGTCAGGCAGCTTTGTTGACACATGGAGATGGGAATATGGACAGGGATCTGCTGGCTAGGTCCATCTTCAGTTTGGGAAAGCTGCTGAGATCATCCACTGGGTGAAATGAAGACTGTCTCTCGGAATGAGTGGTGCTGCAGCTGATTTACCAGTGCTGAATCCCGGCCAGCTTGCAAGTTGATACTCCTTTATATGCTACCCTACAGAGAACGGTGTAAATGAGAGCCTGTGCAAGGAGGTCAATAAACAGTTTAATTTAATGGTTGGTAAGTACTCTTGATTCCCATGATCCTTCCAGGATCTAATTCTCTAAGCACTTGTGTCAGTGAAATTGCTGTTAACCCTCAGTTCACTGCCAGTGTTGCTGTGGTAATGTGGGGCTCTAGCAGCAGAGAGGTGCTCGTGACCCCAGATATTTCTGAGTGGACAGAAGCAATCAGTTGAGTGGAAAGCTAGATTGTGATGCAAAATAGCCTGTTGTATGGTAAGCCCAGTGTGAGAAAGGAAAGCATACTTAAAAGAGCCAGCATGCTAGCAAGCAGCAACAGGAGTGTGTCTAATCTGGATGGCCTGTTGTGGGATGAGGAAAGACAGTAGACGGGCTCTTTCATCTGGTGCTGTTGTCTCCTGTGCTGACAGCAGGCTCCCTACAACCAAAATCTGGAGCTGAGATGATTCCTGATGCTTTGGGAAGGATTTCTGTTCAACAAGGGGAAAGTGAGCAGCTCTTGTCAGAAATAATAAAGGAGCTGCCTGAGATTGTGGAATGGACCTGACTGAGTTATTGGGGTGATGTTCTGCAGTTCCTTGTCTCAGGATGGGAGTGCAGGTGGGTGCTTAGAGCCTGTGCCCCAGTGGCTGGCATGCCAGCTTCATCCATCCTGGATCTTGGCTTTGCAGGTGGCTGTACGCTATCCCTCTGCCCTTCCACCTCACTAAGTCAAGTAGCTCTCACATGAAACTGTGCCTGGAGCAGTCAGTCGATTACTGTTCATATAAAAATGGTATTAACAGGCAGGCTTGTGCTTGTGTGTGCACATGTGCTGGGAATCAGAGCAAACAGTCCAACACCAGCTTTTGATTTAGGCCTTGGGGATGTACAAGCCTCCACAAAATGTGCTTTATTGTGATAGATAAGCAGTGAGATGCATTTATATGGCAACTATTACAGTACATGATAGAGTCTGGGGATAGCACTAAATTTTTTCCTTCAAAGGCAGCAAGCAAATTGCACAGAAAGAGCTGGGAAACTTTTGGATAATCCTCTATGGCTGTGAGTTTGTTTGTGGTGCAAGCTTCTCCTCCTCCTCTTCTCTGGTCTACCCAGTTTAAAATCTGAGGTCAGTTTCTGAAGTCTGAGCTAATGAGGACATGTGCACACACGGGCATTAGGCAGAAATGGGGTCATGTCAGCCTTCTCACTATTGTGAAAATCACCTGAGTAGTATTAGTGAAAATCCCTTTTCTTTTTCCCTTTTTTGTGGCCGAAGGGAGGCAAAGAGAGCTCTGCTGTTTTAACAGCCTCACCCCTGCAGGATCAGTTAAAATGGAAAGTTATTGCAGTGTGAAGATCAGAGCAAAGACTCTGACAGAGTGCAGCTGGTTCAAATCAGCCTTGATTAATCCATCATCTATGATTGAAAATTGGTGGTGAAAAGTTGTCAAGGTCACTGCACACAGGCCAAGGCTGATGGTGGTTATTCCTTGAGGGGCTGGGCTTTCACCCACATTTACACCAAGCCCTAAATGAATGATACTTAAAAAATGAAGGGAGACAGTGGTGCCCAGCAAAGGCTTACTCCTTCTATCTGAATTTACTTGGGTGTCGATCCTCAGGAAGGCAGATAGCAGACAAGCTACTACTTTGAGGCCTTTAAGTCTGAAGTTATGATCTCTGCATTAACCCTGGAGGAACCCATGTCTTCAGGTGTATTTGATTTCTGTAGCTACTTGGCTCAGGGAGAAATAAATCACACCTGTGCTGTAAATCACACCAGTGATATAGCTGGGGCTGTAGTGTCTCTGAGCTTGTCTTGGTTGTGGCTGCTGATCTAACAGGTATTTGTGAGGGTCTCCATAGGTGACTAGTTTTTGTTTTTTTTTTTGTTGCCCTGGTGAAGGGGAAAGTGGTATTGTGGGAGGACTAATGTTGTTTCTTTTGTTTAGGAAGATTTAGCCCATCTTCTGGATGAGTGCTCTGTTAGACTACGTGCCCTTTGGAGAGGGGAACTGCTGGCTGCTGGGAGGAGAAAGAGTGAGTATGGTGTTTTCTCTTTGGATTTGCAGAGAAATGGGGAATCCTAAGTTACATGAAATAGCAATAAACTGGGGCAGAGAGGAAGGACTGCAGTCCAGGTGGTTTTCCTCTGCTAGTGTACATAGAGTATTGTGCTTCTCTCTGATCAATGGTTGTGTAAGTATTCCATGTGGAGTAGATCTACATTAGTTGATATGAATGCAGGCATTGCTTTCTGCCCTTTGTCCCAGGTAGCCTGTAGCTAGAGCATCCACCTTGGAGCAGTGTGCTTGAGTTTCCTCTGGCAAGAGGGATCTGAACTTGTGACTTTCTGTGTACTTGATCCTAAGGTTAGATAGGCTTCCTTATAGTGAGGCTTAAAGACAACTTGTGCCTAGTGAATTTGTAATGGATATTTGCTGGCCAGGTCAACAGCTTTTGTGGTGTTAGTGAAAAATATGTTGTGGGTAGCAATGACAGCTGGGGAAAGGTGTTAGCACAGAGGAAAGGAAAAAAGAAGCAATGTGGTGGTTCAAAGAGGCTTCCTTTTGTTCAAAAAGCTGTGTGGGGAGGTTCATCTCTGCAGCTGAAGGAGAAACTGCTTTGGAGAAATGGGCTTTCTGTGCTCTCGGCACTGCCTGCTGACAACCTGAAGAGGCTCCTGTTGTGCTTTCACATTAATTACCACTGGAGTCGGGCTTGTAACAATGGAGATCTCTGAACATCACTAATAACTAATAAACCACAGAGGGAAGAATGTGGGAGGGATTGGTGGTGATATTTTATTTCTGGACTCTATTCTGAGTAGTGACACTGGTCCTAGTAGTGTTCATGACAACAACTGGGATATGCTTCAGCTGAAGCTTATAAAGGGTTCTGTGTTTAGTGAGTGGACCTTTGTGGTTCCCTTCTGCAGTGCATTGTGGTGTTTGTATGGTGCATAGGACACTGGGAGTGTAATTCAGATGCCACATGCTCCTTCACAAGGCAAAACAACACTAAAACATGAGGAGCTACAAAACTCTGCTCAGGCATTTTGTGGCTGCCGCTTTCATTTCTTTGAAAACTGTTGAAAGGACACAGGATTGTAATTAGTTGAGCCTTATTCTTCTGATTACTGCTTAAACGTTAATATTCTGGAAAGTGTGGTGTTTTTCTATGAAAAAGGATATATTACAGTCCATATTTCTGCAGAACCTCATCCATAAGGAGAAATGGTCCATTACTTAGAGTAAGTTTCCTGAATATTTTTCAAGTACTTACTTGCTTAATAGAACCATTAGTATCACAATTGCATATAAAGAAAAATGCCAACTAACCAGAAAAATTCTTTGCAGGTCTCAGGCTGTTCATATGTATAATGCTGCTACATACTTTACAAGCAAAAGATTTTTCTGTATTTATTTTGAAAGCTGGCATCATGTTAATAAGCTAAAGGCTTCCTTAAAGCAAGCCTTTAAGACAGTCGGATCCTACTGAACTTGTAATTGCTATTTGTTGGCAGGGTCAGCAACTTTCAGATCCCAATAGGTTACTGAATGGGTGTAAAACTGCTATCCAAATGCGTCTGCAAATATCCCTCTACTTCTGCTCCACCTATGCGTTGTAAATAGCTAAGGGAGGAAAACATCAACTGCTGAACAAGAAGGTTCCTAAATGACAGACAGCAGTAATTTAACCAATTATAATTTATTTATTCCTTCATTACTCATTGTGCTATGGCTAAAAATGAATTCTTTTGTGTTCTGCTCTTCTCCAGCAGTGTTACTAGAATGAGAGGTTCCTTTTTCTTATTCCTGCAGATTCAATGCATCTACAGGCAACAGTTTATCACAGCAGAGTGAACTAGTTTAGGCTGAGAATTATTCTGCTTACAAAAACCATGGGCAGACAATCTCTAGAGCATTCAGGACACGGGGTAAATGTGCTTTTAGTCAGATAAGTAATTACTCACATTGGCCATCAGGAGTTTTATTGTGCATTATTTTTCTTTTTAATCTATAAAATGGCTGACCTAAGCTTTGTACCTCATTCTGAGGAGAACCTGTCTAGTTTGCATAATTTGCCTTGAAAGTGGCTACTGAGCTCAAAACATGTCACTGTAACAACTGCCATGAAGGAGAGGCAATCTGGCTTGTGGAAGTTTCTATACTCATTAGACAGTCTGTCCATTGCAGCTTAGTATTGAGTAAAATCTAATTTAGTTTATGTCAGAAGCTTGAAACTTGAACAATAAAGAAACCTGAAGGTAGGGTGTTATTCAGGATGCTCGGATTTCCATAATGTTGCATAGAGGGTATCCAAAAGCACAGGCCCTGCAACTGATGTATCAACTAATACTGCTGTAAAATAGCTTGGGTTGGGAGGGACCTCAGGGGGTCCTCTATTCAGAGATGCCCTGCTTTTAGCAGGGCCAGCTTGGATCAGACTGCTCAGAGTTTTGTCCAGTTAAGTGTTAAAAGTTTCCAAGGATAAAGCTTCCCCACCTGCCTGGCTCCTGTTCTGGGGTTTGATCACCTGCATGGTGGGGGGGAAATGCATGCAAATACCTAATCAGAATTTTAAGCACTGGTCTCAATTTGTGTTGACTGCAAATGGGACCAAATGACTGCAAACTTGCTGAGAATGCTGCCTAGGTCATTTACAAAAGACTTTAAATAGCATTGGCTTTAATATCCATCTCTGAGGCATGTTACTAGTGGCACCAGTGGGACTTGGTGCTGTTGATCACAAGGTTGGTGTTTTTTTCACTTAAACCAGATATGCTGTATTTATAAGATTAGGATAGTAGCTGGTGACTTGCATGTTTCACTGTGTTGTGCATGGTGTGCCTGGATGTTCTTCTGTTGGCCAACATGTTCAGTTCCATTCCCTCCCCATTTAATAAAAGAAAAGCAAATGAAGTGGTGCGACTAGTGTGCCACTCATGAACACACAATCATAACTCATGTTGATCTAGCTCAGAGAGCAGCCTCTGGAGTTTGGTAATGTTGCACTCTTTTGCAGAGCACCCATGAGAACATGCCATTCTGTGCATTGCGTGGCTTGTACCTCAGGAGCAGATCCTGCGTGCTTCGATGGCTTTGGGAGTGAAGTGTCGCTAGGCTGCTGCTTTGCTGTGTGTACAGTACCAGTGGGTCAGGTTAGACAGGCATGAGGCAGGCAGTGTGCCTAGAATACCAGCAGTAATATCCACTCTAGCTCGTGTTGTTTTGACTCATTGCCTTGTCTGTCTCCTGCCTTGGTTCAACTGCTAATGATGGCCCTAGGGCTGGTGTTGGTTGTAGAGCAGGGTTTGGAAATAGTTTGTATTAGCAATAACGTATTTTAATTACAAGCAAGCAGAGGTTGCTTAGCTCCTGTTAATGTGAAGCATAACTTTACATACCAGGTGCCCTACCCTGGTGGTGGCTAAACAAGTTAGATGCTGGGAGCCAAGGGTGATATGAATCTTTTTAATCTGATACTATATAGACGCTACTGAAGATTAAGAGCAAGGCTTGTTATTTTATAGTGTGGAGTGTTATCTTAGAGTTGATAAAGGGAAGTAGGACCTGAAATTTAATGTGTTTTATCTAGTAACTTAATCAGGTGTGAGATTGGCTGTGTAAAACAGATCGTAGGCTGTTAATGAAGATTCCTCTCATGTGTGAGACCTGAGGTATATTGACAGCAGACAGAAATAAGAGGGAAATTTATGTATTTCTGATACAGACTTGACAGAAGGTGAATTTAGAAAGCAGTAAAGTCATCCTGTGTCTGATGTCTAGGCTATATAATATTATGGGAACCTTATTTCCAGATTTATATAGTGCAAAAGAAAGGAGATAGTATTTACAGATTGAGACTCGAATCCATAGACTTCTCTCCTTGACAAAGCAGGACCATCTGTTTCTTGCTAGCATTTGCAAGTGTCAGCTTTTATTGCATTCCTTCTTCCTTGCAAGTGATTTTCCCTGAGCAGCTAATTAATGAGGAAAACCTCCCAGCCTCTAATAAATGTAGATATCTTTCTTAAACCTTTTTGACTTCACTGAGATCAGTCTAGTCTTCAGATGGCCAGCCCTTACCAAATGGTGGTACATCTCATAACTAGCTGTCATGTCCCTTGTGAGCTTACCTACTCAGGAGAATGGAAACTTGTTTGAATACCAGATTGCCTTAAGTCATGATTCTGCTACTTTGCTGGCCAAATGGCAAGGCATCTCTTTTGCTCTTACTGCTTTACCACTTCTTTTCTTGCCATGGTACTTTCATACCTGTTGAAAAACTATGAGTTTGTTGCACTGCAAGTGGTTGCACAGATATTCTTTCAATTCCAACCAGCTCTTTTTTGTTCCATGCAATTATTATTTACAAATTTAGCCTGTTAGTTATTTGCTCTTCCAGATGCTTCAGAAGAATTGTTGTATAAACTGTTATATATATATATATGCACATAACTAATGATAATCCCTATGAAAACACACTTAAGTATGTCTTTCTTGCTCAAAACACTGCTGCCCAGTGTTGCTCTTTGCTGATGATTTCCCATTAACTTTAAAACCATTTGACAGTGCTTCTGTCCAAACCAATTTGATCCAGACGTTTTGGTGATTTTTGTGAGGCACTGTAGTGGATGCTTGATGAAAGTCAAGATACTGCTTCTCCTGTGTTCCCTTCAGCTACTTGTTTCTGTAATTCGATCAAACAAAGCAATTGGTCTTCCTTGGCCCAACCTGTTTTATTTGCTATAGTGCCAGTGCAAGCAGCAGCACACAGCATGGGATCTTCATCCTGGATAGAAGAGGAAATGTTTCCCTGAGAGTTACTATTGAGTCTGCCTAGACAGACAGGTATTAGTGTGCGGGTGATGAAAACAGAAGAGAAGCATAAATGACAGGAATGCAGCACTCTGCAATATGTCAGGAGCAAAAGTGCTGTGCTGGCTCTGTTCCGAGGTTGCCATGCAGATGCTAAGGCAGTGGTAGTGATACTGTGTCTCAGCATGTGCCTGCAACCTTGTCTTTGTTGGCCTT